TTTCGCCGCTAAGTTCTGTTGGTGCTGGAGTTTGTCTTCGCAGATCAAATTGACGCAGTGGTTTCATTGAGTTGTGTAAGCTTCCCAGGTCAGGTTACTTGGACAGACGCTGTAAGCGCGCCAGGCTGAATCACTTAAGGTCATGCATTTTCTACTACGGCTCCTCAGGAAGGAAGTCACTTGCTTTGGGCGAAGGACCTTGCTTTCTGACGCATTTGCCACTAGCTCAGTGAATTGGGTGACAAATAACATGCAAGCGACATCGGGCGGCTTCTCGGTCAGGAAGGAGCCGTCGGTTTCTTGAACGAGGTTATACAGTATATCGTAATGGGTTACGACATAGGTTTCCACGTTGTTCTCACTGAGGTACTCCGAGGAACAGATGTAACGAAATAGCAACCTCGCATGATCGCTACGGCCAAGTGGTGCATTTATGGTCACGGTGTCGACCATTAGTTCCTCGTGGGAGAGCACGAGGTCCAAAACAGTTGGTGTGACACCCCTTCGGAATCGCTTGGGAAAGTGACATGGTTGTACAGTGGCACATAGTGGTAATGTTCTGAGAAGAACTCAGGTAGTGTTGGTGTGGCTTCGTGCGGTAACTGCCGCAAGGTTTGACGAGCGTTCACCAGATTTCCTGCAGCTTGCAGGGTAGATGCATCAGTGTCCTGAGTGGAACAATTGGTTCATTGTGGATAGGCATCAAGGCTCTGACAACGAATCGGTTGTTAGTTGCGCAGTGTAAATCGCCGTATGATGATGGTATGTTTAGGCTGAGCCCGGCGTAATTTGCGCAAGTTTGGTGGAGCTATGCCAGCTCCACAGCAGAAAGTCTGCCGGATCTGGAATTCACACATTCATAAACAGCCAAGCGTACGCGCATAATTTAGTTCACTGACCGGTCATTACCATGGTAGATTAGTGCGCGAACAGAAACAATCAGCTACTTATTAAATATGAATTATGTTATTTCTGTTGTCACAACCCACTTTTCACAGCATAACTCCCTACGCCATCTTGGCCCCCTAAAATATTTTCTCCTCCCATGAACCCCCGGGAATTCACTGGGGCTCCCGTTGAGAATGGCTTAACTAGAGTACGGTACAACCAACATCTTGATGTCAAGTGGCAAGATGTTTTAGTTACAGGCTAGCCAGCATGATGAGTATGGTTTGTGCATGTCGAGGTAACGAACAGATGCAGACGCGCCGACGTTCTGTGAGGAAGCTACACTATGTAGTACTTAAAGTTGGCATGTTATGCACGAACGAACACTCAATAAGCCGTGCTGAGTCGTTGATTAACTTTTGTGACAGTAGAAAGTCAACCGTTGTAGTTTTGTTTGTTGCTCCACCATTTTTTTCATTATGAAAATATGGTTTATTAGGTGATAATTCTTTGTTTCGAACAGGGAATTATGTCACGGTATAACAATGGACTCCTTCCGCTGTGCTGGTACGATGCAAGCGTTCATTGAAATCTTTCAGTAGCAGCGATTGTATGTCCACAACCCCAAGTTTGATAAGTGCATGAGGTACATTTTCTGGTTCGCCAAATAGGGTAGTCCTATGCGTTGCATGAGGGTGTATACGTCAGGAAGTTCAAAGGTGACACACGTGACATGATCAACTGTGGATGGTGGTATGTCCGATCTCGAGGGTCATTATTCACGTTAAAGAAGGCTCCAGAGTATTGACTAAGTATTTTACAGGTGTGTGTAGGGTCGGTTATTATGCGGTTATCCGTTGCAACCAGTGAGAGTAATCCTTGATTCATCTTGGTATTCCTGAAATTTAAAAGGCTGGTTACTTACCGGTTTTTATTCTGGCTGCAGTGGGCTGGTTTTTCATCAGCGAACTGTTTGGTGTGACATGCCAGCAATAGGGCTGCGGTCGACATTAGGCGTCGTGCCAAGAAGGAAAAGTTACTTGTTTTACAGTATGCCATTAGAAACATTTTGAGTATCTTGGCTCTTTTACGTGACATGTGTGTTTTGTTACTATGAGGAAAGTGTCGTTACAAAGTGGGCGTGAGTGTATCAAACATTTCTCTTCGCCGATGATGTCAGAATTATGTATCATTCCGCCCCTAGGCAAGATGGTCCTAATTTATCCTCTATTCAGTCTGACTTGTCAGCATTAGAGCACTGGAGTAACTCCTGGAAGTTACACTTTGCCAATGACAAGCGTAATTATTGGACTACGGCTATGAGACTCCACCGAACATCCTAACCTTAAACAGCACTCATATTCCTGTGTTTGGCGCAGCTCGATATCCCGCCTCATTCAATTTTCTAAAGCAATATTCATACACGCCTCCCAGAAAAACCATCGCCTACATAAATCGAACTCTTATCTAGAGGGAGTCCAGTCTTTAAGCCTTTAAAATGTGTGTTAGGCCGAAGCTTGAATACTGTACAACTGTGCACGGAATTCTGATGAAACTGGAGATCATAGCACTGGAAAAATCCAACGATCATTCACGAAGAGTCACTTGAACACGGCCAACATTATGACTTACCGTGAGAGCTGTGAGGTTCTAAAACTGAAACCGATATAGCTGCGCAGACTCAAACTAACTCTGTACCTTCTCTACAGCTTATTATTCGGCTTAAGCTTTACAACTCAGCCACAATTGGAGTTTCAGGCTCTCAAGTGCTATGACAAAAGAAATAGCAAGCGCATACTGCATATTCAGAAATCTCGTACTAAGCCCTGCTCCAATTTTCTCACTGAAATACGCATTGATATGAAACGAACTTCTATCGAATATCAGCTAAAGGGTTACCTATATCCAATTCAAATGTATGATCGATGTGCACTTGACCGTTTCCAATATATTTCCAAAATATTTCTAGAATATAGCTTTTGATGATTTGTATGAGAAAGGTCGTGGATAAACTTAGAAAGCGCAATACCCCCTAATTTTTTCCACATTCTAATTTTATCTACACAAGGACGAATTCCTTTTTATGTATTTACAATCCATCATATTCTCACCACTCCCGCACTCCCGTCTAATTACTACTGTCTTCTTCACTTTTGGAACACTGTTCAGGAGACGAACTACGTCTTCCAAGCTGAAATATTCGCACGGTCGTCGTTGTTCGCAATGATTTTCCATCAAAGTTTGCTTGGCCTATTAGCAAAAGATTACAAACATTATTACATTTTTGATTCCCCATACCTTATGTAATTCCTTATTTCATTGTTGGCCACGACTAGACTGATCTCTTGAGGTGACCGATTATAGCTTCCAAAATTAAAAAAATTAAGCCCATACAAAGCATACTTCCACTGACTAGCTGGCAAATAACAACGTGCCATACTTAAATGATCCACATGACGGATCGGACTGAGACTTCATCGTACATAATACATGCACAAAATAACGCTAATAAAAAAGACATTTGTGAAACAAGTGATGGTGTTCATAGTATTTTGCCACACCGGCACACAGCCAGTTGGAGCACGGAAGTGCGTATGAAACCCATCTAAGGAAGTAGGTCCCCTGGGACAGTTCCATGCTTGGCCGTATTAATTTACTTGGATTTTTGGCTAAACCTGCATTTTTTAATGTTCCCAGTTTCTTTCTCTAATATTATCAAACTGCCATCCACTTCAGAAACCCAGTTGGGGTCCGTTGTACAAAATATGAGCAACCGAATATTTTATGCGATTTCGATGTACAAATCAAGCAATGCACTCATTTGCATTGTGCCTCACACCGTCGAGGAATAAAACGTTTATTTATATATTTTTAAATGTTGTGGAAGAGGACATCTGCTGCAGCTTGTGTCTCCAGTAAGGAAAGCGCTTGTCCCAATGAGCAAACAGAGCACAGTCGATGGCTTTATCTTTGGTTGTATGCATTCGTAAATCGGACATAGCCGATGTCGGGTATCGTGTGTGATTACTAGGTAAGCATGATACGTCTCTGTGACTACTACCACGAAAGTGCTCTAGAAGGTCTGCAGATGCTGCTAATATGCCAATGATGAATATTAGGTCCGATGAATGATTTTTTTCTACTTGGAGATCTGACATATTGGATCCATCCGTACGAATGCAGAGAAGGGATCAGATCCGTGTATTAGTCATGTACATGACTTGACATTTACGCTAATTCCAATATTTTAAAGTCCAAATTTGTTCTCATGTACTAAGCCGAGTTGTCTGCCATATGACAGCATATATATTGTAGTGCTTCAACTTCGGCGACAGTGAAATTTAAGTACATGTATATATATCAGAGGAGTAACACGTGGCCATGAACTTGTGCATTTACAAAGACCACGTTGTCAAGGCACTTATGCGGGGGAACAGTGGCCGTTGATGAACACACGGCATTGTGTACAGACACGGCACAACTGGCTCCTAGCTTTGATTTACGAGAAGCAGTTATGGTCATATGACCCACTATGTGGTAAGTATATTCAGGAATGTCCTCCATGTACCACGTTTCTGTCACAAGTATAATTTATGCAACAGAGGGTGAGATAACTGAGCGTAGATAGTGGATATTGTTTTTAATTGAGAACCTGTTGACTAGCAAAATGCGCCTGGAAAGCGATCGACGGGACAAGTTCGTTCTGGTAGAACAGTTCGTGGCTATACATTAACCTCGGTAAACCAGCTGCAAAGGTTGACCTGTCAAATTGTCTTTATATGGAAAAAACAATAAGCCCACCACAAAGTTGTGACCATTTACTTGAAAGCTATGCCTATCGCACTTACTAGTCCACTGCAGTTGTAACTGCGGGTTTATATAAACAAGTTGCAAAAATATGACCGACAAAGTGGTTACATCATTGCCCTTGACCCACCGTTTTCAATTGGTTTTATCTGCAACTGCATTTGGAAACATTAGAGGAAGCGACAAACTGATCACCCCCTGTAAACGTGCCTGAAGTGATTTCGTACAAAGGGCATGGACATTCCACAGCTATTTTCCACGCTCTGGTAATAGAATGGAGAAGAGTATGGATTTGCTGTGCTCACCTGACCATCTCTCGAAGAAATACAGTCACCTTGAGCGCATATTACTCTCATGCACCGGTCTTTGAATGCCAAACAGTTGGGTAGAATGTAGGATGGATCACTGATATAGGCAGATGGGCATCTGAATAATGGAAATATGGTCAGATGATTACTGTGGCGATAGTGTGAAACTCAACGGTGTACTCAAACATCGGTTAACCGGCCAACCACCAATAATTCACGGTATGAGCAATATATGTTTGGGGTGCTACCAGTAGCTATCTGTTGTGTTAAACTTTGACGCTGAAATCAAAGCAAACTACTTCCCAACCTTATTGTAATCTACAGCGCATGCTTGATGCGATCATAACTGTTTCTATGACTACAGCGTGTGGATGCATCCAAAAGTCAACGCCATGTAGTAAAATCAAAAGAAATTTTAGTTACTTAGAAAGGATGATAAGCGCTGCGAAAAACAAATAGGTATGCGTCGCAAGGACAATATGCGCACAGGCTCTCCTTATTAATCGGTTGGTAACTGTTTGTAAAACTACGTCCGCAATGTTTTGAGTATGTGGCCTAGTGATTAAACTTAGTACTCAATACCTTGTACCCACCTATACGTTACACATTGGTCGGAACTTGATATGGCCAACCAGCCACAAGAACAGAGTATTAGCATCAGCGGTGATATATTTGACTGCAAGAATCAGACACACATGACATGTTGTCACTGGTATACATGTTCTGAGTCGGCATAAGCTGCACCTCAGCATGTTTTCTATCCGATGTATTTCGTAAGCATTATCATCTTGATGGATTTCCGTTTGTAGCGAGCCACATTAAACCAGGGACCGATTACTGTTTACAGATTTTATACCCAACTAGCTGAGTTTGTGTCCTACACGATCGTTAGGAATTTTGTTTAGCTTGTGCCACGATACACTGGGCTGCAGCGAATGCTACTAGCAAGCAAAATCGCCACGAGGCAAATACGCAGTCAGACGTAGGTGAGTCCCGGTAAAATTCATGCAGTATCCGAATTGCGAATTGCTTCCTGACATTTTTTGCAGCACACATTTGTATGCCGGCGCGCCAATAACGCTGGGTTATAATGTTTTGCTTCTGAGATAAACCAGTAAAAATACGTGTGTTCGCATGGGACTCTTATGACGCCATAGCATATTGACTGCTTATTGATACTTTCTGATACGCACTAAACATTTTGTAGGGTTTCGATTATTACTTTGGTTCAGGTATAGGTTACCTACGATCAAAGCTTAGTTTAGAAGAGTTTGAGGTACATTTACACTTGCGTTTTTGTTTGCAATATAGACTATCAACTTTCTAAGAACCAGTGTTTTGATCAACGTTCGCATTCCAAGGTCCTAGTATAGATGACAAAAATTCCCTAAAGGATAGTAGCAGCTATTTGTAGATTAATTCCTAACGTCTCCACTCATCTTCGGATGACCTAAGAGCTTTTACAGACACCTAGTACTCTATTTGTGTCTTGTTCGGCAATTATGTGACACTCTGCTGCCCGCTTATATTGCTGACAACCGTGTGATTCGCGGTGAACTGAACCTTGGCCCTTCGAGTGCTAAGATCGTCTCTGATGCAGATAAAAATTGGACGTTTCCCGTCCGAAAACACCACACATGGAGGATTTCGTCGCAATCAAGGCACGCAACGAGTACTACAAAATGACCCCCAACCAGCCGTTAATGATTGTGCAAAGCGTTATGAATCGCGACCCCGCTGCCAAAGTGGTAGAGGTCCAGTGCTAACCTAATTTTCCCGGGTTTGATGACTGCTCTTTCTGCCTGATGACGTCACACAAGGTTGAAAGTCGCAGCGAAGTGCAGTATTGTGAGTGATAGACTTTTTAAGTATGTTTTATCCATCACCGTGAAAATACATGTGTCTATGGCGCAAAGAAAAGCACTGTACTGGTTTCGTTTCCTAAAATTACTTCTCAGGATGGCCATATTTAATGTGACACATATGCCGCCGCCGTAGTAGCAAGACTTGTATTTCCAAACCTATGGGTTCATTCACAATGGCACATAACTGAATGGAACATATGGGTTCCCCCACATGTCAAAAAATAACTTTCTTTCTGTTAAGAATCGTACCAAGGAACCGAGGTCTCAGTGTCATCAAAGAACAGAAGCGTGCATTAATCATTAGACCTATTACACTGTTCTGCGCGTTATCGGGATCCTAAACTACGAGCTGCATCTTCCAAACCGGTAGAAGAAACACTTACTGGAATGTTTAATTTGACACCCGAACTTATTCTGTTTCACTTGCCTGGGCGTGCTACTTAGTGGTTTGAAATTAAGAATGCCCTTGATGATGACAAATAAATCGGAAAGCGTGAACTGCGAAAGGACATTGTCATTTTATTCATTTTTATCCAAGGCATGGCTGAATTGAATGTTAGGCACAAGAAACGCAAAGGAACGTCCGTCCGATTCGTGGTCTAGTAAGGGCTGACCATCGCGACGAGCCCGGAAATTAACGTGGTGCGATGGTTTGTGTGCCTCATTGATCTATTGAGCTATGCTGGGTGGTGTTTTTGCACCTTCAGTGTCACTCATACCAGATTAGTAAATGGTTAGAGATCAGACAAACTCCTGGCCTTCCAGGTTAGGGGTTGGAGTGAAAGTGGCTCTTTACTCCTTAAAACAAGCTGTCTGTCGTCTAGTGCAAAAACCCGGCTGTCTTACCGTAAGGTTTTGTACCAAAAGCGTTGGTTGACAACCTTAATCGTGCTCCTGTCTAAACCTGGACAACCTGACAGTATCCTGCCCACACAATACAATGGACCTTTCCTCTAACAATTTCTTGATGCTGTGGCCGGCGCAAAGTGTAATCAACGACGCCCTATCTGCTGTATCGAGTAGGCTAGATAGGGGTTTGGATACTACTGCTCAGGTCTTCCCATCTTCTTATCCCCTTCTTGCGCTTTTTTATCCTTAGCGACCCGCTCCAACTTTACTTCCATACCCATTTTTTCTATCGCCAAATTCTTGGCCTTCCCCCACCTTGCCACGACAGTTGCTCGTTTTTTAGTTTAAATTCATATGCAAGCAAATGGCGTCGCTCCAGTCCAGTCGACAAGTCCGTGTTCAACCAGGCGGACAAAGTCAGTTCATCCGTTTCTCATTAGAGTCTTCGATCCTCGCTACTACTGGCAGGTCTTAACGTGCGCACTTTGCAACGGATTGACCAACAGGCAGCGCTTGATCGAAGACTCGAGACACTGTCGATCGATATTTGCTGGTTATCGGAAACCCGCCCGCAAGATTCGCGCTCCGTGCTTACCCTGTGATCCCCCACATGCGACACTGGCGGTATATTCTCATTGAGCCTGTCTGGCGATGATGCCGCTCCAAATGCCTGTTAAGCTGACGTCGGCATTGTTTTGAGTCTCCGGGCTGTAGCTGACCTGATAGACTGGATCCCAGTCAACAGTCCGATGTGCGCCGTTAGATTAGCTGGTTCGTTCCATCCTACGAAGTTGGGCGGGAACAAACGATGCCTGTGAGGCACTGCGGCCTACGCCCCTACAAACGATAACACTGATTCGGTGAAACATGACTTCTATCACCAACTTAACGATCTTCTTCGTTTCTGAGGAAACAGGCATGCGGTGGTGCATGTTGGTGATCTGAACGCTCAAGTAGGAAATTTGTCCTCTGATGAGCTTCATCTGGGTGACGAACATGATGTAGGCACCGGTAATAATAACGGCGAGCTATTGCTATATCTGTATGAAGATACTCGTCTCTCGCTAGCACTAACTTTCGACATAGCACCCGCAGAAGCGTGACTTGGCGCCCACTAGACTCGCATCAGCCATGGACGCAAATCAGTCATATCGCGATCAGTTACCGCTGGAGTGACTGTGTCCAAAATGGTCGCTCTATTTGGAGCAAGAGAGTGGACGCTGATCACGCTTCTGTTTGCATTGACCTCCGGGTGCGTTTCGATGGACGCCCGGAACGTCGATGTCAATGGATTGACACCAGCCATCTGGCGAAAGCAGATGTTCTGAATGTGTTTCAAAGTGCGCTGACATCCGGGCGGAGTAAGCGCCCACTGTACATCGTCGAAAATCACTAGATGCAAATTCAGCAAACGTTACTATCAGCAGACAAATCTTCATGTGGCAAATCAATTTGCCAAACTGGACATTGGGTCTCTACACAGTCTCTGGAACCTACTGATGCTCGCCGACGTATTCCGGTTGGAAGCGAATATAATGAGACTGGTAAAAATCTCATGGCCTGGTGGTCTCATCGTGCATCGGAGATAGAAACAGCCGCTGCCGTTGGTAATCCTCGTAAGTTATTCCGTCTGATACTGGAAACTGGTAGCAGGAGACCTGGTGTTAGCGAGACCATACGCGACGAGAGTGGACAACTGATTCACAGCCTGTCAAAACGCTTGGAGCGTACAGCCAACCACTTTGCAGGGCAATTTAATCAACTTGAGTTATCGCTTTATTTTTCAAGCATTGAGTGCCATTCTTCGTGGGCCGTCTCCTTGGATTCGCCTTTGCGCGCAGAAGTCGAACGTGAGGTCAGGCTGCTAGAAATGCATAAGGCCGCAGGGGCCGCGAGAATCCTCCCAACCCTCTTTAACTTCGGGGGACCCGCTCTAGTAGATGATTTACGCGAGTTGCTAGTGAAACATTGGGAGTAGTAGATTGTCCCTACAAACTGCAGCCGCTCAGGGATTGTCCCAATATTCAAGGGAGGCTCCCATTCTGAATGTGGCAGTCCAAGAGGGATCTGTCTGATCTCAATTAACTCTAAATTTTTTGCTTCTGTTGTTCTCCACAGATCGACTAGCACTCGTGAAAGCCAGAGTCGTGAAGAGCAAGCCGGGTTTTGTCTAGGTCCTGGGCGCATCAAACACATCTGCACCTTGCATCAATTATTGGAGCACCGCCATGTTATTTGGCGACCTACTGTTGTTGTGTTTCTCCATATCCAAATTGCCCTCGATCCGAAGGAATGATGTGCCCTTTGGAACCGACTGCTGAGTAAAGGTGTGCCCGACAAATAGGTAAACAATATTAAAGCGCTGCACGCACATATTTCGAGCAGAGTGAGGGTTTATGGCAAA